ATATCATGTACACTGTGCTGTGCATGGCTTCCAGCGACAAAACAGATGGGGAGTTCAACTGTCAACATGTTCACCTTACAGTGGGACCTGGAAGCACAACTCACAGCCTGAATACATAGCACTAAACCACCTTCAAAAATCGTTCCAGAATTCATACATACCAACAGTAAATCTGTCGGTGAAGGACCATTCTTAAAAGCCCCACCGTATCCGCGAAATCTAGGTGAATTTACATAAAAGACTAACTAGACTCGGAGCCTTCTAACCGAAAGTTGCAACTCTGTGAGTGGATTGGGAGACTCCCCCTGCCCCCCCACCCTCCCGGTCACTACCTATGAGCCGCGTCCGGATTTTTTTTCGAGAATTTCGACTATATTTTGAAGATATTCCGGCCCGGGAGGCCGCAAATAAAGGAATTTTGTTTTCCCCACACCGGAACTGTTTTATTTTGGTCCCTCTGCATTGCTCCAAATGGTTCAAAACTTCTGGCGTTCGCTGGGTGTGAAAAAATACCCTTGAAAATGTGTCGTCGATTTACTCTAAGCCCGGACGGGGTTCATAAGTAGCGACCGGGGGCTTGTTGGGAGATAGCCGGTAAATAACCGGTCGCTCAAGAGTCAATATCGGTCGATGGTGCACACAGTGGAACGTTCTGCGGTACCACAAATGGCTACATCACCGAAATTTTATAGGCGAGTTTTACCGGACTCGAGAGAAAGGCGCTCCTCTGATCCCGACTTTTTGCAAATACACGATTGGCTTAAGCCAACTTGGTCCACAGACAGCAGGCTCGGCAATCTCCCGCATCTGCGGCAGTCACGCAGCTCACGTTTGAACATGTACTCGTTCGTCGCGTCCTTCTGATCTTGTGTAGCGCTTCTCTCCTTCCGAACATTAGAGCCCCTGCAGGGTCGAAAGGCGATGGCTGAAATCACCATGTGTGTGCATTTCTATTTTGCTTAGCTCTGTGGACCAGTGTTGTGGGCGTGATAGTAAATTTCAAGACAGATGCCGTTTTTCTGAACAGCTCGACCTTTTCATTTCCCGGTGACGGCGTTGTAGGGCGGGACTGAAAGGCCGGACGATCTGGACTGCAGGCCCAGCCGCAATAGTACAAGCACAATATTCTTACTGTTGCCTCCCTTCTGGTTTGATACTGGTGTCTCGCGAAGTAGCGTCCTATAACATATTGACTTAGAATTCCTAATTACAGGCTCAAGTTAACAATCGAAATATGTATGGATTTTTTTCTCGTGCATAGAGTTCCCCTTCAGTGTGCTTTTCACATCGGTCGACATTCTGTTAGAAAATTCCGCCAAGTTTAGTATGTTAGGCTACGCAAAGTGTCTTATGCAGTAGTGTGTCCTTTCTTCATTGGGCTTCTCGGATCCATCTGCGGAAGCTTTTCGTTTAGCAGGGCTCGATTTTGCTGTGTTGGAGGTCGATCCCATGTTACTCGCGGAAGAGGATATAGACTGGAGACCTTAAATGAACAGACACGGAAGTGGTGGACAGAGATGCATGGAAGTGTTTATGTAGATTCAGACATTCCGACAGTTCCGTACATTCTCGTAACTGGGCCAGCCTCACCTGCCACTTTCCGGTCTGTTGGTTATAAACAGGAGTCGTCCAACGCCGTAAGGCACTCACCCAAACTCACGACCACCACACCGAAGACAGCCTTTCCTTCGAGGTCTGAAGCGGAATGGTCCGCACATGCTCGTCAGGATTCCTGGATATAGCATCGTTATCGCCGGTTCAACCCAGGCTCGTAAGTGATACAAATCTTCCAGGGCTATGTCAATGGGCTATTTGCAAGCCGCAAAGCTACGCCTGCCCAACCAAATTAAACTCCGACAAAGGCGGCGCAAGCCATTTAGCCAAGCCAGGCACAATCGGGGAAGTTTGTTACACCCCGCGTTTGACATTCCGTTACTGCAGTCATGAATTTCGTGTGTTACCAGGTCTAATCCCAATATCATAGCCCTCGATAACCTTCCTCCGTTTATTATGGCGCAATGGACGACATCCTCCACCCTTATGCATCACCTTGATTTCGAAAGTCGTATTTATCAAGACGTACAATATGAGCCGCGCGCCTCTGAGCAGTCATACTGGCTCTCCGAAGACATCTCTCAGAATTTTTGGCGCTCCATTGTATCTAGTCCAGTACCTCACATTTCTGAGCAAAAAAACAGGCAGGTGTGGGCCATGTTGGTGGTTGCAGAGATGATTGACTACGTTCAACTTTGTGGTCTAGATCACTTACGGTAGCGTCTCTTGTGGCATACATGAGGTTCCCTGACGCTCATCTACTTCAGTGACAGCGCGCGTTAATGCTGTGACAATGGACCTCATTCGGGCCTTCTTGCATGCCTCTCTCCATAATGCGTGGACGAATTTTCGTTGGTGTCTTGCATCTACCCTGAGACTTGCTGAATCATATAGGTTTCAATTGATTCTTGGTCTCAGACCGTCCGAGGACCCCAACGGTGCAACGAGTCTCATACCGGGGCGTCTATTTAGTATTATTACCTGGGCGCAGATATTTTGTTCCTGGCGGTAACATGACAGACTCAGGCTTTGATTATCAATATTGGTTTACCGCCCGGACATTCGTTTGGAGGCCGTCGCCATTCCTTCAAGCAGTTGTTTGCGTACCAACGTCCGAAGAGTACTCTTCGCAAGGCCTTTGTTGTAACAGGGTAGAATCTGCACCGAGGAAGCATACGCGGCATTGATTTGGTTCTGGTGAAATCGGACGGCACATATCCGGTGACGCTTGCTGTATTGGACTTTTTCTTGTTTCGGAACGTGGCCAGCGAATTCGGCGCTTGTGCAACTTGCAAGAGCGCGCAGCTGGTAAAACGTCTGCAAGCGACTTCTGTAAGATCGACTCCGCAAAGCTGTAGCGCTATACAGTTGAACAGTGCAGGTCATATGAATAGCACCTGCGTGAGTTCGATATGACCTGTTCTAGAGTTGCTGTGTACGGGAAAACTTCTGCAGGTTAGCGCTAGCCGGTCAATACGGTTGGGTTAGTAGCAGTATTTGAAGTGCAAGGGTTATCAACTTTTGGCAACCACCCCACTACAAATGCCTCGACACGTTCACTTTTCATCTTCTCTGGGCGCACGACCGTTTATGCGGCGACAACCCTACATCCAGTCGCTGCCAGTGACTGGACGGGCCCACAAGTTCGTCGCACTCTCCACCACGCCTTTGCTCCGATACGATGTCTCCTTGCATCCCTCCCTGATCAACACTCACTTCCGAGGAGTGTCCTCAGCGGGGTTTCTTGAGCCAGCTGTTTACCCAGCACAGACAGTGATCACCCTCGTCACAGCACACTTGCCGTGGGCAATCAGCGTTACCGCTTCCAACGCTAGATACGTCAGTGTCACAGTCGCGGATGTGCTCAACACGATATACCGCATGCTCCGCGTGAACGCAGCACCGGGCGAATTCGAGGGGCTGCGCAAGGACAAGCTTCGGCGGGTGTCGGGGGCGTATAATCAGAGATGCGAGCGGCTGCGGGGGCACCGCGGATACAAACAGGAGAAGAAGGAAGGGATTAAGCGTGTAGATTTCTTGATGGGGTATCACAGGTTCCAAGGGATCACCCCCACAAACGGAGCCCTGGATGTTTGGCAACTCACTATTTCATGAAATATGTATTTCCCTCGATGCACCTTTATTTTGCAATGTATTCATAGCTACCGCATGTATATCTCAAAGATCTCATATTTGAAGTGGGTTCTCATTGTGATTGTCCCTGTTCAATGGTCGTGGATCCGTTGGTCGCCACGACTCTCACGTGAAGCAAATTACCACAAGACTTCTTATTTTTACTAGGTGCCTGAAGCCACTGCAGCAAAATATATTCCCGTTACGCTGAGTAGTTACGGTTTGAGCGGTTCAATCATTTTCGGTGGTGAGGATGATATTTTTGTCGCGACGCTCACTTCGTTTCAGTGCACGTTTGATCACAAGGTTCGATTCCCCGCGGTTCGAATGAAAGGATCGTTTTTTTTACATAAATCTGGTCGTTGTCTGTGGCGACGTGCCCATAGGTCCGCGCATCATCAAATATCCAAAAGGTATAGGGCACCACCCGACACCCGAGTTCATTATTGTTCCCTGACCCCTTAGATGCGAGCACCCATGGAAAACACTACAAGCGATGACGAGAGACCATAATTGTCAGATTCGCGTAGTGATGTTCCAAAATCTTGAGCTCTTCCTGTCTATCTGAAGTGCCTTAAGTAAACAAACTGCTCGCCCTCCGAAGAAGATGGCGAGAATAAAAACGCGGGCATATAGCGCGATAAGACCCGGAGTGAGCTGCAGGGAGACTTGAACACGCAGTGAGCTGCGTAATTTTGGCCTGATATTCCGGGCAGCCTCAGCAGAAGCGTATCATTAATAAGCCTAACCCGCGAGGCCTTCAGCACGAGGGCGCACTAGCCTGGGCATCAGAGAAATAAAAATCCCTCATTTTGACATGCCATTGATATTTAATATTGGATGCTTGATCCGTGCCGCAGCGGTCGCAGATTGTAAATTCCGTCTTCTGTGTCGTCATCCGAGAAGGCGGAACCAATCATTTTACCTACAGCTGTACAACGCCGATTGTCCCTTGGATTCTCGAATTCTCTTTGCATCCTCCTTGCCTGGAAGTCCTCCCCTGGGCCAAATTCTACAGAGAGTTGGCCTGAAGCACGCACAAACGGGGATCATAAACATCTATCATGTGTCGTCTGAAGATTCTTTACAGTGGGGTACGAGCGAGATTGTATACCATTTCGACCAACTAAAAATTAAAATTAAAAGAATAGAATAGTTCAACCTATGTCACGCGTCATCGTTCACAACCACGGGAAATTGAACAATGGATCGGAAAGCCAAAAGGAAATGTGAAGCACAGTATCGCATGTGGATGAATGCACTGTTATTTCTCGCGGGTGCACCGCATAGCGGGGGACCTCGCACCGGGCGTGTGCCATCAGGAGGTTTCGAATCCCCGACCTGCCGCTTCCGCAATTTTTTTGAAGGCGGTCGATTCAGCCACTGAACCAAAGTGGAGACAAGGGCCCACGTGTTGGAGGTGCATACGATGCTGATTGATGCGTAACTTAGAAACCTATGAATTAATTTCGTTGCTGATTTCTCGTTCAACAGCATTCAAAAACGATGCTGCGATGTCGCTGAACAACTTGTATCCCTACACGAGGTGTCAAAGCTGTCAAGAAGCATCAGTGGCTGTGCATCCGTTAATCACATTTCTCCCCAGTCTCCTGGGAACGCATTCATTGACACGATTTGGGGAGACTCATTCCTGGGCAACGTCTATTATGTACGGTTCAAACCAAGCCTGGCTCCAGTCTAAAATTCTTTGAATTTCGGAAATTCCGTCACGCGTTCGCCAGCCGGGAACGCTTCAACACAGCTCCTCTCACTGACGGACCCTATCGCGGCAGCGGCGGACGCCCTCAAAGTCCGCACAGCCCTGCTGGAAACTCTCTGACGTGGCGGAGCGCGTAGAATCCGGAGACGATCAAAGGTTGGACTATAGATTCCGTCTGTCTCGTTTTTTATTGTCGGTAGATACAGAATCTGCTCTTTTCTCAGAAGTTTCATGCTTCGGTAGAGGCAAAAACGGTGAAAGAAATTGCACAGCCCGGTTTCAACGCCTGAACGGAATATAAATTTTGGAGTCAATCATCGAGTTGGTTGAAGCGATTGCACTCTCGCTCGGGAGACTCGGTGGGTGCTCGTACTCTTGAGCAATTGAAGTGAGCTGTTTTTTCTTAGTTGGCGCAACTGTTCGCAATTTACAAAGGAGGTTTGAAGGAGGTCCGAATTTATGTCAACTTCGATGGGTCAGACGGAAATCCAGCACTTAGTAATTGGCGAACGGGTATAAAAAAAGACCGCTGCAGTTCCCATGAGAAATCAATCCAAATATTGTAAGATAATTCCAGAGCTTTCGTGGAAATAATTTGACATGAAAGAGAGAGAAAAAAATGTGAAGCACAGTATAGCATGAGGAGAATACGACTGTTGCTTCTCGCGGGCGCAACGCAAAGCGGGGGGCCCGGCACCAGGCGTATGCCACCAGGGGGTTTTGAACCCTCGACCTCCCGCTTCCGTAATTTTTTTTAGGACGCGGTCGGTTCAGCCACTGAACCAAAGTGGGCACGAAGACTCGTGCGTTGGGTTCAATATATGTATCTTTTTATGTTGGGTGTCTACGAGTGACGATATTTGGTTGAAGTGCAATTTTAGCCCATGAAGTCACAAATTGATTATGAACCTACCCTGCGGGTCTTGGAGATTATTTTTTTTGTTCAACATTCAAAAACGATGCTGCGATGTTGCTAACAGCTTCTTTCAACGAAGAGGTGTCAAGCTGTCAAGACGCGTCAGTGGCTGTGCACCCGTTAATCACGCTCCAAAGATAGGTTTGTCTCCCGCCACCACCACCGTCTTCCCTAAGTTAGAGCCTGCTTTCGCCTTCTTCAAATCGCTTTCTTATCTCGCCGTTGCTCAGTATGCCAAATAACGTCAAAACCGAAGTCCTCGACGCCGTCGTGGAGTTTATCTCTTCCCCAGATTCCGAGCATCACCCGCGCCGCCTGCCGTGGCTCCACGAAGCGCGGTGGTTGGAAACTACCATGACTACTGCCGACGCTACGGCTTGCTTCACACAAAAACTTGCCCGAGAGGTGTACGGCCAGCTCGGCAAGACGACGCTTGACCACGCCCTACTCGTCATCATGGGGGATACGTTGCTGAACAAACCAAGCGGATATGCTCATGTAACGTGGATTTCACATACACTTTGTGTTCATTAACATTGAAGATGTCCATTCACAGAGTATCAAGAACGCGGTCATCTGTAATGACACTCATCAAATTCTGATGGATAAGAACAAAATTGATGTGCCGGATTGCCGAGCTCGTTTCTCATTCATTTCTTAGCCGTTTGCCATGATTTTAGGTGCGTTGAAAAGCGGTTAAGCGGCGCTTTCGAATCATATCCATTATGCCAAGTTTATCGAGAGAACTGCGTACCTGAAAGTGCGGGCTGTCTTATTCAAACGCGACAAGACAATGACCCGTTCTCGATCAATTCTGGGCCGATTCCCTTGAATCTAGATGATATTGAAAGCTGAGATAGCAACAACCAAGTGTGAAACATCAAAATTTGTGGCACACCCAACCTGCAGCATTAAGGATGAAATTAATGTGTGCTATCACCAATTCATTCTATAGTACTGATTTCGATTTGAAACCAAAATGTCAAATGTGTGCCACCTATGCCTCTAAATCTCTGTCCATATGAATCACGCATCATCCAAATTGGTTTAGAATTGACTGAGTAATAGCCAATTTAAGCTGGGGTTTGTATCTGGTAATGGTAAAATACAAGGTTCTGTCCTTGGGGAATTACCTACTGTGTCTAGTACGACTTGAAAGCCCTGCTTAGCCGCTCTCCAACGCACCTAAAATTAGGCAAAACGGTCACGAAATGGGCGAGAAATCAGCCCGACAATTCGGTACATCACTTTTGTTCTTATTCATCAAAATTTGATGAGTGTCATTAGTTTTGCAAACAGCTGTAATTTTGCAAACAGCTGTAATTTTGCAAACAGCTGTAATCGGAGAAATAGGAAGATAACACAGAGACTTTTATGGTATTGGAGCCTTTCGTCGCTCTTCCCCCTCAGTTTTACGGTGCTGATCATCGATTCAGGATGTCGCAAAAATCCTGCCCGGAATTCAACAGCTTGTGTCCGGTTACAAGCCCGTATATGGTCGTAAGGTTTTGGTTGGCTTGAAACAGATAGTTTGTACCCATGTAATCCACTAAAAGTCTTATAAGCCATCATAATCCACAGGCCGGACGTCAAGCCATTACAAGCCATTCACATAGTCTCAAGCCAATTACGGGCTTTCATGTACCTTTATTATTTACCAGAATCCAGCTCAATCACCACATCAAAAAAAGTAGAATCGGATTTATTGCGTATGGAATGTGTACATTTAGATATTTAGTGTCGCTTACTATTGGCAGACTGCTTCGACTTGACGGGCAACCGCTCTCTGCGAGGACGACCAATCTGCGCGGGAGGTGGTGGGGAACGCAAGTCATTATTGCGCTCCGATCCGTTCCCATTCCCCGTGTCGGTGGGGGCGTCTGCTGATGAGTGGCCAAGTTGACAACAATCTAAAGCGATTGATAAAGCTGGATATTAAATAGGGTAAGATGACTCACGGCGGCGTGTTCATTGGTTTGTTCCTGAGTGGCGTCTTCGGTATCCTATACACCCTCAAAACCGTCTTCAAACTAGAGTGAAATAAGCACCAGAACTAAAGAGATGTTCGGACGCGCACCGCGCTCGCAATCCACGGCTCAGTTCGCTCGGAAGCAGCACAATCACATCTTGAAGTTGGCCATGAACCTTATCAGCTTTCGAGAGTCGAACTCCACGGCAAAATAGAAGTCCTCGTTATCCTCCACTGTCCAGGTGAGCCGCGGGTCAACTAGGAACAGCGCCTGCACGACAACAAAGTGGTAGCCCGCCTCGCAAACCCTTTCTTCGACGGTGACTGGATTAGGAATTAAATCGTCCGCACCGTCGGCGTGGGGGTATGAGGAAAGAAGAGAAGTTGACGCGAGATACTCACCAGTCCACATTTTATATAGCTGCTGCGGGCAGTGCTGCTCCACTCCGCCCCACACCTAGCCCCACTGGCGGCCCCACAGGTGCCGGCAAGTGCAAACATTTTGAACGAGGGCCCGAGTGGGCGTACACCACACCATAAGAATATTGTGGTAGGTACATCGATGGGTGGACTGAGAGATTGGCCTTGCGAAGCAAGGGAGAGAACAGGAGACGGAGCTTGGAACTGAATTATGTCACACTTTGATCCGTTATCACTACTCTCTTTTCTCGACGCTGTGATAATTCTGAGAAGTACATGCTGTATGCAATATACTATGGGATAGCAATGAACTACTTGGAACCCAACGACTGTTCTGTGCGCTCAAGAGCTTCGTCGAAGGCGGGGTCTTCCATCGCTTGAAGATGTCGTACGTGGTGTATTGTTGTGTCCTATCTTTGGTGCATCATGAGAGGTTTTCTACGTCGTAGATTGTACATGTTTCTACGTATAAATGGTATAGTTTAATAAAATATGCTATATGCGTCCCAAGAGCCTCGAAAAGCCCTCACGAGCCACCCTCTCCCTTGAAGGTAATTGAAACGGCTTACAGTGGATTGTAAGCCTCTCAGTGTGCGGCTTTTAATCCCCTTCAGGTCGCTTCAAGGTCTTGAGCCGCGTCAATCCCTTGCAAGCTGAACGGGGTTTTTGCGACAGAGCCTGCAGTCTCCCCGACATCGTTCGCTTCACCAGTCGTGGTGTCGTATCATCGCGAGATGCTCTCCAAAGAGATAAATGAACTGGTCAGTCCCTCTTTTCGTCGAGTGATTTGTATTTGACGATCGCCATGTAGTACGAAGGAGAGTCGGACTCTAGGTTCGATAAGTCCGAACTGCTGGATTTGGCGCAGACGGACAAGAATCTGAACCGCATGTTAGCGGAGTTCATAGTGGGTTGGAGCCGCGCTGAAAGCTCGATAGAATTCTAACCAGACTACCAGGATATGTCACCGTTGGGCGAGTCCCGTTACAACATGAGTGCACCGGTATATCTCCGTTTGTTTGGGCTGCACTGCGCGATGCTCAATATGGGGCTGGTTCAGGCGCCAGGAATTTCTCGGGAGGCCTTCGTTCTCGGCGCTAAACTCAACCTGGCAGGAGCAGACGACGAGGTACTCCACACCGTGAGCCCTCTCGTTCTATTACTATTTATGCGTGCGCTTAACCCGAACATCTGACAGCTCGAGAGATCCATCGGTGGTGTTGGCATCCCGGCGTCAAAAGCCAGCGGTGGAAGGTCAGGAATGGAAGGTAGCGGGCATATACTGTTCCCGGATGTACGAATTTTCTTCTATTGAAACTTACACGCGCTTGAAAATTCCTCACAGCTCGCAAACCCGGATCGCGAAAACCTCGCCCCCAAGCACGATGGCGGTGGGCTCCTGGCGCCGGCCTTCGAGGTGAGTTTCGTTGGGCATTATTTAATAGCGCACTGATGGGAATAGTTTGACCCGCTCAAGGCGAACACGAAGGCTTCAAAGATGACCGTGAGTTATTTTTGTTTCTTCTCCAAACGCGCTGAATATGATCCTCTGTGTTTAGCAGTCGGGGTCTGGGAATAGTGCACGCGCGATAGAAGGTCTCAAGACCCCAGAACGTGGTCCGTTGATCCCTATAAATGGGAGGACACCCGGAAGTATCAACACCGGACGAAACCCGATGTATTAGGAGGTGTAATGTGCACAAGTTTGATCGTCGTAACACTTGGATATTCTTTTTTCCTCTTTCTTCTTTTTCTTTAATTTTAATTTTCGGGTAATGTAACTCGGCTGTAATTATTATAATATAGAACGGAATTACTTGATACATTCGCTCTTTCGAACAGAGAAAGCGTATTTTGAACCAAACTGCATAGCCACATGTTTTCAACCATATTGGCCATGATCACGTTTGAACAACTTGTGGACTCAATTATCCATTTGGGGCAAGAATTCCTATATGCGAGATGCCTTAAGAATGACAATTTCGTTTCGAAGGACTCGGCCTGCACTTTTTGCCAAGTTGATGTGTCATTTTTTTCCTTTCTTTCGAGCAGAAAATGCATCGGTTTTCCTAACGGCCATCCCAGTCCAAATTGGACAAGTTACGCAACAGCCACTGGAGCCACCCTGTGGCTGATTTAGCGTGCGCAAGTCGGTGGCTGGTGGCTTCAGTAGCTGATGAACCAGAGGTAAAGCAAGTTGTTTTAAGAGCTTGAATGAAGGTGCATCTCAGAAATAGCCCCACCTTTGACATAGCACCAATTCCCACCCAAGAAATATTGTCTTTGGGCCCCAGTCCACCAGTATAAAGAGCGAAGGATATTGTAACTTGTATGTGGTCGATAGTCCTCGCAAATGGTTTAATTCACTGAAAAACGAATTCAGGCATTCGTCAGGCTTTCGAGCCACCAGCGATCGATTTACGCATTGTGGCTTCAGTGGCTGTTGCGCAACCTGTCTATTATGGTAAATCTGATAGCTCCACCCTC